AACACTTTTTCAAAGGCCAGTTGAAATCTGAGGTGAAAATGTCCCAAGCAGATCAAAATACAGACAGCTGCACTCCTAATGTTAATAATGTGCCACTGTTTGCTGGACTATGTGGATTTTATTTCAAGTCAGACGTTGATTTAGGTCACAAATGTGCCACAGGTTATTTTCCCTACAAAAACCCTACACGGACTGACTCTTAATTCTGAAGATTACGGTCATTTTGCACTTGCTTATATAACCTTAAGTGTTCAGAAGCGGGGCGGGGGGATAATAAAACCTGGAAAACCTTGAGGATGCTTGAAGGAACAGGCAAAGAAAGTCTACCGTCAGATCCTCTTCTGCCAGAGCATGCGGAGAAGCATGTTTCCCACTGGCGGTTTGGAGGTCTGTACAGTATCATGTAAGAACAGAATTGCACTTGAAGGTCCTTCTTCCATTCCACTTCCAAGAGTTTTAACTAAAATCCATCATAGGGAAGCTTAGAAATCCTACCTAATGACCAAAACCCAAGCAGATCACAGGAGCCTTCCCTTCAGCTAACACGTTGACCCCACACTTGGAAGGATCAGGGGATATATTTTCTGTTCCCGGCTCCCCTGTTACACTATGCTGCTGGGACAATTCTCAGGGTCTCCAGACTAAATCGTTTGATAACTGCAGCAGTCCAGCAGGTACGAAATAGTTCCTTCCTCCCTAACTGCTCCCCTTTTGCTTCTTTGCTTCTAGGGCCCCTCTGCAGCATCTTGGTGAAGCGCTTTGGCTGCAGGTTCGCCGTGATGCTGGGAGGCCTGCTCAGCGGCGTGGGCATGGTGGCCAGCTCCTTCTGCAACTCCATCAGCCAGCTTTACCTAACGGCCGGCCTCATCACCGGTGAGTAGATGGTAGGTAGGAAAACCCAGCTGCTGTGCTTGACTGAGAGCTGCTGAGAGACGGGAAATGCTGAAAGTCCCGACTAAGTGCTCACGTTTTTCCACTCATCTGTGAAACGGGACAAATCAAAAGCCCCACAGCGCAGCAGGAACCGTAGAGCAGCTGGACTTGCCCTTCACACCCCTTTAACACACACCTCATCCAGCCAAGCTCACTGCAAAGTGCTTCTCTCTGGAAAAAGCTCCAGGTCTCCAGAGGGCAAATCGGAGAGCAAATATGTCTGATCTTTTTAGCAGCTTCTCAGCCTTTTGTCTTTGAAGAAGGGAGGTTTTTTTTCAATCTTGGAAGGTAATTTGTTGGGACAATGTCCTTTCCAAGTTCCCTGAGCTTGTATTTCACCACTCCCAATCTGGGGAAATGCAGAGACAACTTTTTCTAACAAAAGAATGTGTTGGTTTTGAACAGAAGTAACAGATGGGATCTTTTCCTTTCCAAATATTTCTCCTACAGGACTGTTGCTCAGCTCTCACTCTTTTCTAACACAGAGAAATTAATTTCTGCCGCCAGGTCACTTTGGGACTGATCCTGTTGGATCTTCCAAGCTAAGCCGAGTGCACTGCATAGAGAGAAAAACAACTAACTCCCCAAGCCCTGATGAAAATGTCAGGAAAGCAGCACTGCTTGTTGCATGCAGGATAAAAAACAACTTTTTAACGAACAATTCCAGAACAATTTTAGGAACGGCAGCGTGCCCCAGACAAAAGGCGGCTTAGATCAGTATATTTCGTGTACCCAGGAACACAAGTAGTTTAATTTATGCACAACATCCTTCTTCCTCCCTGGCGCGGGGTTTCCGAGTATTAATCACCGGGGCTTGTGCCTCCTGGCAGGTGAGGAAATGCTTCAGTGGCAGATGAAGTCATCTGTGGGTACACTCTGGATTTGGGCTCTTTTAGCCGTTTAAGACAAGGCAGAGGGATCGTGCACTGTCATTTTCTCTTTCGTTCCTACCTTTAGGTCTGGGATCATGCTTCAGCTTCCAGGCAGGAGTGACTGTGCTGGGCTACTACTTCGTACGGTGGCGAACGTTGGCCAATGCCATCGCATCCACTGGCGTCTCTCTTGGTTTCACGCTGTGGCCGCTGCTTTCTCAATACTTGCTGGATGAGATGGGCTGGAGAAACACTTTTCTTATCTTTGGAGGAATACTATTGAACTGTTGTGTTTGTGGAACCATCATGAGACCGGTTCAGCTTGCATCAGGGTCACTACTACAGTCACCCAAGCCTGGAGAGGAGGCAGGGAGAAGAGCAGAAGAGGCGCAGCTGTCCAACGGAGCATCTTCTCCCCACCCCGAGCTCCAGCAGCAGACCAGAAGGACTGCATGCTTCCAGATGCTGCAGAAGTACCTGGCTTTTGACATCTTCTGTCAAAACAAAGGTTACCAGATTTACACTATTGGAGTGACCTGGATGATGATGGGGTTTGCATTACCCCATGTCTACCTTGTGCCTTACGCCATCCAGAACGGGGTGGAGGAGCGCAGGGCGGCCCTCCTCATCTCCGTGATCGGGTTCATCAACATCTTCATACGCCCTCTGACGGGGCTGCTCTCAGGACACCGAGTCTTCACAGGGAGACGCATCTACCTGTTCAGCCTGGCTGTGCTCCTCTGCGGGCTGAGCAATTTCATTTGTGTCATTTCAGCTGAGTTCAGCGTGCTCATCATCTACTGCGTCATCCTCAGTATAGCCATGAGTGGCACTGGGGCACTCGTCTTCCAGGTGTTGATGGATGTGGTGGAGATGGACAGGTTCTCAAGTGCTCTAGGGCTCTTCACCATCCTGGAGAGCATCACACTCCTCATCGGACCGCCTCTCACAGGTGAGAGAAGCGATTAAAGGAGGCTGGGGAAAAATTGGTTGTTTAGACAGCGGTGACAAGCGTTTGGGAGCGTAAAGATGAGAAATAAGGGAGTTTCCAAACCCATGCAGTCAGGTGAGTTACGTAAAGGGAGAAATATAAAAGGGAGAGTTGGAAAGGAATGACCAGCCCCTTCTCACAGCTGAAGGAGGGTCATTTCTGCACCTGCCCCAGTGTCACTGCAGCAACAGCAGGCAGCGAAAAGGTCACCCACTTGGTAGGCAGCTTTGGTAGTTACGGGAGCAATGAGAGCTTTTTTCCAAGAACACAGAGAGGAATTACTGTGGTAGGATCTTTCTGTCTCTGAACTCCTTCACTGCTTTCTGAGTTTGCATTGTTTTATCCATGAAGTCTCAAAGAATTGCTAACATCCCATTAAACAAATTAACAGTGATTAGAATTACTACCAGTCCTACATTATTCAAGAGCCTTATAGTAAAAGCTTCTGTTCACTCCTCTTTCCAAGTTCTAGAGTGTATTAATTTTTCTCTGGAGACAAGAAAGTAGCTAGTTATGACCCCCAAACAATAAATTATTCACAGATTTCACAGTTCACTCCAAATGCCACTAAGTGAACTGTCTAAGAGGCACCTGCTCCTTCAGTACAGCAGCAAAGTCAAAAGACTAACAAAGAAGAAATGTGAAGCTGAGCATGAATCCTCAGTTCAGGCTTTAGTTCTCTTCTCCAGACAATGACCTGTGTGCTATTCAGCATGAAAATACTGCCTTTTCCAAGAATGGGATGATAACATGCACTGTATTTCATGGTATTCCCTGGCATTAGTGTGTCAAGTCATTTTTCCCAAAGTGCAAAAAAGGTCTTTTCTTGGACATCTCTGGTAGGAGTAGCAGGTGGGCAAAACAAAGCACAGTTAAAGCAGCACCATTTCTACGTGTAGTCCTAAAATCTGCTAAAGAAAAGTGCACTATGAAAAGAAACATCACCAGCCTTTACTGAAGAATACCAGCAAACAAACATTATTCCTGTATTTCCATATAAATAAGCAGCCTATAGAAGGCCTCACACATCCGACCTGAGTATCGCCTTTCCATCTCTAACATTGATGTTAAATTACGCATTTGATAGATCATGCTCCTAAATGTTTTATATTGAGGGCACTCCATGTCAGTCACAATGCTTGCTGTGCTGTGAATCTCCTTCTCCCCGAGTACACACTATTAGACACAAGTTTTCAGTTTAGAGACCCTAACGTCAGTTTTTGAGAGATTTCCCTGATTATTTGTGGTGTTTTCTGACCGAGGATGTAACAGGGGTCACTCATTCCAAAATCCAGTGAGTGGCAGTGGCACAGGGGTCCTCTGCTCAGTAAACAAAATGAATCAGCAGGTTGGGGAAAAGTTACAATTTCCTTTCTTTCCTGATTTCTCTGTGTACAGAGAAATACTTTATACAGAAACAGAAACATCACCTGAGTGGTGCCTACAAAAAACCCGAACTCCTAGAACCTAGAGAAGAGAACTTAACTGTCTGTGAATGCTTACTGTTTGTATATGGCAGTTTGCCAAATGATTTAGGTTTAACATTTACATCAATGTCACCCACTCGCCTTCAGTATGCACCTTCTCTTTGCCTAAGCTGTGGCTTCTATTTCAGGTCTCTTGGTGGACATAACTAGTGATTTCCACTATGTCTTCTACAACTCCAGTTTCTTCCTGATATCAGCTGCATTATTCATGGGGCTCAGCTTCTGTGCTCTGGAAAAAAAAAACAAATTGAAAGAGGCTTCAAAAGTACCTTTGGATAATCCCTCCAGGTATCAATACAATGAAATGTCAACTGAACCACAGTCTGAAAGTCAACCTCCTCCAGCAGTCGTGTACATCACAAGCATATGAAAAGAAAGAAAAGAAGGAGGGGGGGAAAAAAAAAAAACAAACAAAAAAGAGGAACACAAACAATTATGTGGCCTGCACAAAGCTACACAAGGCCCAGCCCGGGTGGCAGATGAGAAAACAAGCATCTGCTTTCCACAACTGCCGTCATCCTTCTGCTCTGCACTGTGGGGCCGTGTCAGACTCCAAACGAGCGATCCAGACCACAGGCTGAGCCCAGAACCCGGCGCCAAAGAGCCGAAGGACAAAGCGAACTGTGCTTTCCCAGAGCAAACTACGGGATAACAGCCACGGTCACCAGCACCGAGGGACAAAAGCTCTGTCCGTGCGATTGGTTTGAGTCACTGCCTTTAAGAAGTCACTGGAATTTCACATGCACATTTCACTTGGTAGCACTGGACCATTTAATGTATTAATGTCTGTGCACAATGGTAGCTCTTTCACGAAGAAGTATTATTGCCTTGTCTGAACACGCAATTTAGGTGCAGACTTACACGAAACTTCCTGATTGCTTCCCATGTTGGGGGTGGCAAGACAAACACCTTCCACAGGAAG